GCCAGGAGGCCCTAGTGGCCCTAGTGGCTTCTTTTTACTATAGTAGCCATGCCACGAGCCCTGGTAGTGTCCTTGCTCCTAGTAGTAAGGCCAGGAGCCCCCAGTAGCTTCTTGTTGCTAGTAGCGATGCCAGGAGCCCGTAGTAGCGTCCGTGCTCCTAGTCGTAAGGCCAGGAGCCCCTAGTAGCGTCCTTGCTCCTCGTAGTAAGGCAGGAACCCTTAGTAGCTTCTTGTTACTAGTAGCGATGCCAGGAGCCCCTAGTAGTGTCCTTGCTCCTAGTAGTAAGGCCAGGAGCCCCAGTAGCTTCTTGTTGCTAGTAGCGATGCTGGGAGCGCCAATGAGAGTCCTTGCGCCTAGTAGTAAGGCCAGGAGCCCTAGTAGCGTCCTTGCTCCTAGTAGTAAGGCCAGGAGCCCCTAATAGCTTTTTGTTACTAGTAGCGATGCCAGGAGCCCGCCCCTAGTAGCTTCGTCAGCGTCCTTGCTCCTAGTAGTAAGCCCCTAGTAGCTTCTTGTTACTAGTAGCGATGGCAGGAGCCCCTAGTAGCGTCCTTGCTCCTAGTAGTAAGCCCCTAGTAGGTTCTTGTTACTAGTAGCGATGCCAGGAGCCCCTAGTAGCGTCCTTGCTCCTAATACGGCCAGGAGCCCCTGGCGAGTAGCTTCTTTAGTAGCGATGCCACGAGCACCTAGTAGCGTCCTTACTCCTAGTAGTAAGGCCAGGAGCCCCCCCTAGACAGCAACTGAAAGCACTGGATTCTGGAAAGAATTACTACTAGGACAACACGCAAAGTCAATGAATCACCTGTATGTGTATTATGAAGTATAACTTATAACATAATATAATATAACATGTGACACCAAGACCCTCCTCGTCTCCATGTCCTATTTGACTCATCTCGCAATCAACACCAGTGGACAATTTTTATTTAAGGGCTGCCGCGAGTGAACCCCCAGTGCTTCCAAGCTTCTAAGGATGAACCCCCAGTGCGGGGTTCCCTTTTCGAGGCTCTATACATGAGATTTGGGCACGATGGGCAGAGAACTGGGGCCTCCGAGCGCCGAAAAGGAAAACTCACGGCTCCAAACCATCCGGAAGCGCCGCATGAAGCTGACTAGATCAGGGAAGACGAACAGGGTAACAGGGTGACCCGACAATTTGGTTCGTTTGGGGTGAACCAGGGATATTTTATGGATAAATTTAAAATCAACATTTGATATCCGGCTTTTCCTCGACTGGTTGGCATTGCGAGGGTTTTTCGAACAGGGGTTTCAGTCGTCCTTTTAAAGGTTGCTCTTCTGGAACCGTCGTTTCTTTCCGGTGTCGAGGTCGGTGCCCGTGCGGAGCGTTTCATTGCCTGCTCTCTGGATTGTGAGTCGACTCAGTTTACTCTCCTTTTCCACAGAAGACCGACTGAAACAAGTCACTAGCAACTCTGTAAAGATGGCCGACAGAAGACCGACAGGAGCCTACATCACTCCACTTAGAACATCTTCCTTGCAAACAACATGTTTCGGTCGATTTCATCATCTCCAATGCAAAAATCGAATCAGACAATATGGTTAATAATACGACAGATAATATGACATGACATGGTCTAGTGAGGATTTAGCAGGATCAGTTAAAACATTCCTGCGTTGAAGACCAACATCGATCTGCATGGCCGGCTGTGGTGGCGAGTGGCATAGACGCCAGCTTGGCCGCCAGCTCTGGATCCCTAGAAAAAAGACAATTTACTAGCATTTTCCACCACTAACCAGCCTCCCAAGAAGCTTCCACCAACAGCCCGCCAAAAGCTTTCCAGCCTCCCAAAAGCATCTGAAACCACCCCTTCGCCACAGCTTTAACCCATTGAGTTCTGCTCCAAACGAGCCCCAATTCCTCGGACGTTCGATGTCAAACGGACGCTCTGGATCCCTAGAAAAAAGACAATTTGCTAGCATTTTCCACCACTAACCAGCCTCCCAAAAAGCTTCCACCAACAGCCTGCCAAAAGCTTTCCAGCCTCCCAAAAGCATCTGAAACCACCCCTCCGCCACGGCTTTAACCCATTGAGTTCTGGCGGATCTATCATTATTCCCTGGCGCGCTCCCCCTTGCGTCGGCCGGGGTCGGCGGACAACGCTGGCCGGCAAATCAACTGTATGATTTGGAACACATCACAACACCAATATATCAACGCTCGCCCTCGGCAACTCCACCGCTTTGCCGAAACAGATGGGGTTGGATCACTGGACCTTTTCACCGAAACGTCTTCCGTGCGTGAAACACGTTTCAACTTCTGTGCTCAGAAAAGCCAGCAAAATGGTTCCTCCATACTTCAGAGATGTATGGAGGGTTTGATTATGTTTGATTGAAACCCGTCAACATGACCCAGTCCATGGCCACTTGGATCACTTGATCCATTTGTTGCTCCTTTGGCGTCCACTTTCGAGTCGACCACACGGATTCTTCTCCACCGAGTCCCTCGCGAATCACCTCGACCCAGCGCCAACCCATCGCCTTGACCAGGGCGAGTCAGAGGGGTTCGCTGCAGTCCAGGGAAAAGTCGGAGTTTGTCTCATGAAGCCTTTGTGCAGATTATCAGAATAAGAAGATAACATGAAAAAGAAGAATACACCCTGGGAAACAAAAGAAAAAGCACTCGTGATATTTGGTGGTATATTTTTCTGGTACACTCTTGGTAGGTGAAGGAAAGATGAAGGGGTTCTACGTAAACCGATCAGTCAGCGGCAGCGACTTTGATAGTTCCAGTTTTGCACTCGACTTTCACCATATTCTCTATGATGAAAAGTGCATTGCTGAAAAGGAAGTTCTGACCATGTCACATGAAAGAAAAAAAAGAAAAACACAACTTTTGGGGATCCCTTAGGAAACGACACTATCCTTTGCAAAGAGGCGTTGTCCCATTTCATGAAACCTTCATGTCCATCTTGATGAGTCGGAAATGATTGGTTTCAAACCGTGTTGATAGCAAGTTCCTTCTTTTTTTGGAAGTCATGGGACCACCACAGTCATTCCAAGCTTTGTGAGGCAAACCTGGAAGTTTTGTGAACTGGTTTAGGACTTGATTATCGTTTGTTCTTAAAGGAGAGCATTCCAGCAAAATAGAATGGTTTTTGGACCGAACAGCCAAATGCGATCAGACAAACGGTTTCACCCCAACCGGAGTTCCAGTGTAATTACTGATAAAGGCAGGCAGGATAGGTTTCTCTCATTTCTCCGAAGTAGTGACTCGCTTAAGGCTTAAGCCAAAAAGAGAATGATGAGAAAGCGCATGGACTCGGTAATTTTTGCGGACTCGGGATCTCTGCCTGCGGGAAAAACTGACAATGTTGGCCATGTTCATGTGCCGTGTTGTTTTCCATCCTGGCCTGTGCTAGGATCTTGGAAGCGTGAATTTTCCAGACAGGTACCAAGATGATAGCTACAAATGTTGAGTAGTATATGAGTGTCAATTTCATACAAAAGCACCCAAGCCTTCCACCTTTCAGATGGGAGATTTCCACAGCACAGGTCGTTCACAACAGCAATGTCGAAAGAAAAGGTTCGTTCGATAAGCTATACATCAGTGTCATGGTTCCTTATTTCTCCCTCTTAATCACGGTTTGTGTACGTATGCAACCTAGCTGGGGAATGTTCAGCCATGGTCGTTTTATGTTCAGCCTCTCTGGATTTGGACGAACGCCTGAATTTGCACCAGCTTTGGCCCAGTTCCTGCGCAAAGCTGGGTGTGCTGCATAGAAGGCTCCTGTGGCAAGAGAACTGGCCAGGGGTACAAGAAGACTCTTGAAGGTCGCACCGTCCATCCAGATGTTTTGTTCGCAGACCATCCTGGCTTACACCATCCTGCTAATTGAAAAGCCCGTTTGGTTGCCTTACAGCCTTTGCCAATAAAGAACATGTCTTTATGCAATTTTCATTATGTGTGTTTGTTGTTTCTTTGCTCAAGATCCAAACCCGGAGAACAACCGATCATTTCTCAGCAACAAGATTCATGATCCTTGGCCACACAGGCCTCCTCACAGACCGAAAGAGGCAAAGAACCTCAATCAGTGATAAAACCTCGCTAAAAGCAGGAGCTTGGTTTTTAACCGTGCCGTTCCTTCATGTGGTCTACTCTACTCCAACCAACTTGGAAGAGATAGACTCCCAACCAACAAAGATGTGAACTGGCTTCTCCGTCGTTGGGAGCCCTAAAATACGGAAACTCTGCCATCACCATTCATCATAGCTTCAATTGGCGCATTTGCTTGTGCCTCAAAACAACTCAGATTTGGGAATAAATACGTGGAGCGATCCACTCCCTCAGATTTTGGACTTTACAGAGTACTGTACTCCAGCCACTTGCCATGCGAGACTTCCCTGTTCCTGCAGTCGTTTTAGACTTATAGGATCTTATAGGGCTTGCAGAGGCCCGCCGACGGCACGCCGGCCGCAAATGCGGCGAGAGCATTAGCCTTGGCAGAGGCAACAGACATTCTTCGCTGGCCGATCATTAAAATTGTGCAGATTCGCTGGTTTTCAGCTCGCGCAGTGTCACAGTTATTTGACGGACCAAAAGCACAGCACAGTCCCAGGATTCTTGTGGGAGGGAGTTGATAGGTTGCCACAAACCTGTTTGGACAGTTTGACTAATGTGGCTCCAAAGCGTAGGCAGAAAGTACAAAAGGACATGTAGAACTGTAGAATCTGAGATCTTCGGAATCGATGCTTCGGACTCAATTTCCATGAAGAAGGGAGGTAAGTAACGGACACAGATTATATTAATATAATTCGATTGTAGCTTATAGCTTGAGGTTGGTGCCATGTATGTCGAAGGGTGCTGGTAGTTGGCTCACCGAGCCAAGCCGCGCTCAAAAATGACCAGTCACATGTGACCAGTCACATGTTTGGTCTTTGTGCCGTTGGTGATGTTAACAAGACCTTTCAATGGTGTCTTGGATCGGAATCCCTTGGGACGGAACTGTGACACCACCAACTTGGACATCTTTTGAGCTGCTCAGGTCCTTTGTGAAGGGAAAACCCAAGGTGAACCGCTGGAAGACCTCGAAGCAAATCCCGGTGTCTGGGCCGCAGGACAACTGCACCTGAAACTCCCTAACTCCCAGGGGGCGCAACGGAGTGATTCGTCGCAGGGTTTATGATGGTGCATAGCGCTTGCATGAGCAGCGAGCGCCAGTCCGGAGAGCAATGCAATGCAACAGTGCAACATGTCCAAACATATTCAAAAACCGTCATTCCTTGTGGATTTCTTTGGATGGTGGTTTATCCTCTCTATACGTGAGGATGGCTCTTCAGATTCTCTTCATTGGATGTTGACATCGGATCCACTTTGGAAAGGTGCTTGTTTCAAAGCTGGAAACCTGCGACATGGTGGATCAAACACAGTCACTGACTAGGGAGAAGGATTGCTAGGCTACCAGCTTCATTTGCCTGGACGTGGGAGGGACTAGTGCGGCACTGGCTGAGGTACTCACTCTGGTGAACGAAATAGAAAGGTGCATGGACTGTTCATCCCTATTTCCCGACAAAGTCATGTGATTTGGCTGGCGACCTGACATCCAAGCGTTTTCGCAGCAAAGTGAATACTAAGTCACTAAGTCGTTGTTGAAAACCTCTCAGACAGAGGATGACAGAGGTACAAGAGGACCTGCAGCTTGGCTGGTTGCTTGGGAATCTCTTGGTGTCTCAGCGCTCGGCGCTTGGCGCTTTCAGGTGGTGACCAAAGAAGCCATCGCCATGAGCAAAGAGCTCAAACGGAGGAACTTCGGCTTCGTGGGGCCGACGGTTTGCCTGGGGGCCCAGAGTCCCAGCGCCGAGAGAGAAACGGAGGGTCGTGGATGGAGCGCCGCTGAAGTCGTGTCTCTTTTCGGAGCGTTGGAAGTGAAGGCCCCTGGTTCTTTCGCGGTCAACTATGAGAATGGGGTAAAAAAGTGCCATGAAGTCTTCTTGTTGACTTTGGGAAGCGCAAGAACTGAAGACCATCCCGCCTCCAGGTGCCGACCTAGAACTTGTCGTTTCCATCCTACACCCTACACCTCCTTTTTGGGGCTTGTAGGTCCATCTTTGTTTGATTCCTTTGCTCTCGAAGAAAGAACAACCACAGAAAATTGTAGTTTTGAGCTCCCGAAACTCAGGTTATGCCTTGATGCAATCCGTGGGAATGGCTCCTTGGAAGCACCGAGACAGCGGGCTGAGAAACCAACCTCCTGAGAAGGTGTTGGGGAGGGATTGGAGGGCCTAAGGCGGCCTGACACCCTTCTGAGGAAGTGGTTGGAATGGATTTTAGGGGTATGTGTTCAATTATGATTACCTGGAGCAACTGGTCACCCGCGGATGGATTGCGAGCCAGCATGCATCGCCCATTCACCCATTCATCCCTCAAGCAATTCTTTCTCCGTAGGTTCCCTCAGATAGGTTCTGTCTTGACCATGACATTGACCCAAGGTGTTCACCTCTGAATCTCCCGTCAGTGACGAATACATTGAGCCTTGAAAGTCTTAGATCAAGATATTCCCCAGTCGGGGGGGAGTTTCAAGGTTTGGTGACCCGGGGACGTGAAAAGGATCGGACTCCCGAAGAAGTGACATGTGTGTAGATGGGGGTCCAGCAGGGGGTACTATGGGTAGACAGTAGGCACTGAAAGGGGAGGGAGGGAGGGAGGGAGGGAGGGATGGAGATGCAAGATGCAAGATGCATAATTGATTGCCTGATTGCCTTATATCAACTAGCGCAGGATTCATTTCCATGCAATTTGCTCCAGCGGTGAAGCGCAAAAACAATCAAGAACATGCTGTCAGCATGGCAGGTTAATCCTCCACCACCTCACCAATACACCTAGGGTTACTGTATATGAAGCAACCCCGCGCCCCAACATTCAATGTTGGCATTAGGGCGCGTACAAGGTGGTGCAGGATTTTGGATGTCCAACGTGTTTCGTTTTCGCACGACAGTCGGCCCAATGTTAAAGAAGGAGCACTTGGGTAGGAAGAGACACGGCACAAAGTGGTGCAGGATTTTGTCCATCAACCTTATGTTAAGTGCAGAGAGATCCCAAATATATAGTTTCAAAGTTCCGCAGCGTTCCATTGTTTCCATGTCTATTGGGATCCTCTTCTTTCGAACTATTTTGGGTTGCCATACTTTCTAAAGCAAGAGTTGGGCCTGCCCAAATCTTGGAGAACATCCTATGCGCCGGGCCCTGTCCAGGTCCTTCACTTGCCATTCTGTCCAGGCCAAGGTGATCGGCCAGAATTTAATCAGAAAAACAATCTTTGGAACCCTATGTTCCCCTCCATATTTGGTCATGTCTCACAACTGGAAAGCATACTGTACCTGTTTGGTTGCATCCACCCATGCACATGCAGGATATGAGTTCCTCCATTTGATAGGTGCAGATTCGAGCGAACAAGATCACTGTAATTCACTGTGTATATATATATATTTGTTTGGTATCCGGTACAAACACATCTCACTTGTGATATGTTCGAATGTTGTGTGGGCAGCAAGGGAATACTGTAGACTCTGCTCCTTTGCTCCTCTCCACAAAGCAGTGGTGTAGGGCCTACAGTGTAGGGCTTCTATGTTGGCTGATGTTGTGTACTTGCATGTTCCAAACCTTCTTAGAAGGTTACCCACATTGCTTTGGCTGAGGGTAATCCCAATCGCATGCCGCATGCCATGGATTCTTTCAGGTGAACGATCATCCAGTGAACACGCCTCAGTGGAAGCGCGTGAATGCCATTGTTGAACGGCGCTTTGGGTGAGAGAGAGAGAGAGCAGAGAAGTGACGACCGGGACTCTTTCCTGAACTAAGATGGAAGTGCAAAATGCCAAGGGTTTGGAATATGATGTTCCTCTACTGGGGATCTATCAGTTTCTGTAATGTGAGTTGCTGCTAGGTGAGTAACGACTCCCGCCGTCATGTTGTGGAACAAACAAGTTTCCACCATTCCAAGTAGCCCTAGGGCTCCAACGACCTCTGTTTCGTTGCGGTGGTTGCGGTGAGTGCCGGGGGGGGGTTAGAAACCACCTGAGGAGATGCTGGGAGCCCAACGGTGGCAGGGGGAGTGGAGGCAGACGACTTGGGGATCTCCTTGTTGGACGGATGACCGGATGACCGCAAATGGAGGTGGAAAACTCCCTGTTTGTAGAGGAAAACATTGGTCACATGTTCCGAACTTTCCGACTCGCCACATGTTTGGAAAGTTTGCACACTTGTTGGCTCTGGCCACTTGGTTTCTAGTCAAACTATTGATATCCTCCGGTAGGGAAAGGGTATAAACATGTATAAACTGTATAAACTTGTTGGAACACTTTTATGTCAAATGCCTGGAGTCTACAGGAGATCACAATTCCAAAGTGTTGTTTTTTGCGCGGAGAAGAACCCATTTAGACTATCAGCTCTCAGTTGCTGAGCGACCCGAATCAAACAGATAAAGCTCTGACTCTTCAAAGCTGTTGGTGCTTTTCATGAGTGATGTTTCACTAAGTTAATCGGTATCATGGCTTGCAACTCGTGGAAGTGTTTTATGTCTCCCATGCTTCAATTCCTACTCTTGGAGATGTTTTTGTAGACAAGAATCAAACACAAGCAGCATGCGTTTGTCTCAAGGACTGAAGAGTGGGGATTAACGTATGTCAACCACGATGATGTGTTGGGATGCACTAGGCCAACCACGAAGGGTTTGCTCATTGCTCATGGTTTGTGTGGCCTCACTGATAGATCCCTTGCCAGTCACCCTTCTTTGGTCATACATTCACCCGCTGCCAGCCCAAACCTTCCAGTTCTTTTTTTGCACAAACTCACTTGCTGACGATTCTAAGGTAATTGCCGCACATGAGAACGTTCATGAAATATCAAATTCTTGACGAGGCAACTATGCTCACCTGTTCAGTAGGATTGAATTGTTCTTATGGTCAAACTCTATCAATGGATCAGTGTAGAGATTCTAAAGGGCTTCAGACTGGTGCTAGTAGGGAATGAGGAATGAGCCCTAATAGACTATTAGAGATTCCCTTTGAATCATTTGGAATCCATTCCCTCATTTTCGCCCACGGTTTGGCGGTAGGGGTCACCGTCACGGGGGTTGAAATCACCACGACGATTGTGCAGAGTGAATGAGTGATTTCTCTTGAATTCCCTTCCGACCAGAATGCTTCTTCGTTGCCGTCCATTGAAAAGTTCTTGCTTATATATGGTGAAGCAATGTTGGGGATAAAAGCTGGCAAAAAAAGACAAACGAGAGCCCTCAGTGGCTGCCAAGAGAGCCCAAGAAAGACAGACGCCACTGAGGCTCCCAGATGTTTGTAACATCCAGGTGAGGGACCCTCCAAGTGGGTCTTCTGTCGAGTCGAGGCAAGAAGAGCCGAGCCGCCAAAGAGCCACAACGTGTCACTGTTCCCTTGGGAGAAAACAGTTTAAGCACGTGTTTTTTCCGGGAACAGTTCGGAACAGATGGGTAAAGACTCACAACGTGAACTTAAGGAAGCCTTCAACATGCTCAAGAGAGGAAAAGGCAACTTATTCTTAATAGGTTGGTGAAAGTTGGCGAAAGACCGCAAGTCCGATAAGTCAGTCAGATAGCAACTCGGCATTGCTTTAGCCATGGCTGGTCCCAACTGGCGAGCACCAGGCGAGGAAATCGTGCCGAAGGTAGCAGCTGGGTTGCGCACAAGACGGGAGTGGCCAGTTGAGATCAGCTTGACATCAACCCCACCTTTAACATCCTTGAACCATGTCCTGTTGTAGTTTCAGAGTAGATGGCACAATCCAAAATTGCGTGCTTGATATTGGTCCCCTATCCAACAGTGAAGCGGTGAAGCTGGAGCGGAGTCAACCTGATGAGGCTGAGGCCGGCTTGGCACAAGAAGAGCTTCAAGTGAAAAGTGAAGACTTGTGGCAAAGTCCTCCTTCACCCGCAAAATCAATGGATCCTTGACCTGTCCTTGCCCACAGACGGGGAATTCGCAACAATGCCATCCTGTGCGGACGAAGCCTGGTTCCGTTAAGGCTAAGGATTTTGGTGAGTTTTGTCTTAGTTTTCGAGCGCACTGGAAACTTCCAGCTATCCGGGGACATCAGAAACGGAAGTGCACACGGTGCAGGCACAGTGCAAAATCAATTTGATGATGAGCTGCTTTTTCAATATCTGCAGCTCCGACAAAGGCGACGAAAGAACTCACGTGTTCCGACTTGGTCTCACTTGGGAAACGGTGGGCATCCTCCTTCCGCACGACGAACAGAACGGTTTTTGGATGTCGTGAGGTGTCGCGCTGTCGCGAGCTGAGGTCGGCGTATTTGGTCATTATCAATCATCATTCATCATAATCATGCATAATTTTGATGTGAACTCACCCCCCCTACAGTGTGATGCCAGTGTTTGATGCGAACCACGGCCAGGCAGTCGACTTGGAGGGCTCTCAGTCTGAAGCTCAGACATGCTCTGCTTGTGGCCGGTGAAGGCAAAAATCACCACACAGGCTGCATATATTATATTGATGAACCATGCATGGGAGGCTTGAGGCGATCCATGCTTATCACTTCTGGAAAGGAATGCCGTGGTTTTGGTTAGTTTCTGTGATGCATCCCCATGGCATCCAGCAGCGAAGATTTGGTAAGGTCCTCTTTGCGGGGCTTTGCTTTTCGCAGCTGGGCCGAAGGCCAAACTGATGGGGAATGAGTGATGTTTTCCTCGAGGTGTGCTTACTACAATGGACTATGTCACTATGTACTACTTTTTGGATCGTTTTGGTTCCTTTCTGGAATCCTTGTGTTGTAGAATTCATCTGTATGAGTCTAGCTAGCCTGGTTCGATGGGTCAGTACGGGTTGGCTTCGTGCCGGATTCGAACCAAGGGGGCCTGGCCTCAGCCTTGGTGAAGACGCTGAGCAGTGAATCCAAGGTACTCACACGACGCAGCAAGCACATCGCCCATCATCGCTCCAGGGTGGCGTGCTAGGGTCGTTGTTGTTCAGGGTGGCGAGGAAAGCCACCAGCATCTTGAATCTATGGCGAGGTCTGTAACTTACTCCGTCATGTCATTTGTCCACCGCAACTTGAACCTTGCGCAAGAATTGGATCTAATTTGCAAAACATGGCCAAGCAACAATATGCAGTGTTGATTTGACCCCGCACATACCAAGTTTGTTGCTAAAGAAAAGCTTGACCTATGCTTATAAGTCAGTTGTCCGTCCAAATTATATGACGACCCGAACCAAAGGTTGCAAGCTGAAACGATGCTTCTCAGACATTGTCAGCCATCGCATGCGAGCCACGCTAGGCCTTTCCTTCATCCCTTACGAGCTGTGGCGGAAGTAGACACTCCTCAGGACACACGGACCGACACGCGTAACTTTCGGCTTCCGTAGATCGAAGAGGTCTCCAACGTTGGGGTTCTCCCATTTGTGGGACCAAAGGGAAAGGACCTTCGGCGAGGGAGGGACAGTATGTTGCTCCATTAAACACCAGACTCAATTACTATTGATGTAATTATTCATGTATGGAATACAGAGCACATGCCATTCTACGCCTACATGAAGCCCCTGAAACCACCACAACCCCACCGGTTTCGGGGATGTGGAAAACAGATGCAGCTGCCGCAGCTGCCGGACCGAGGCTTAAAATATCTAAGGCTGCAGGGCACGGACCGAGCTTCAGTCACCTCTGAAGCGTTGACGTCAGTTCCATGGGTTACGGTGCACCCATCGCTCCGCCATCGCTCCGGTGACCGATCCGATCCGGGAAGCGGTGACCGTTTTCGATGCACCGTGGACCGGTGACTTCTCGAAGAGTCCACACGCAGCGGACTCGGACTGCCCACCGGGTCCACAGGAGGTTCTGGATCCGCAGCTGGAGCGGCTCAGGCCCGCTTTTGGGCGCCTTGTATTTCCTGTGGCGAAGCAACACCCGTGGTTCTTTGATGTTTAACCACTCCTGTTCATCCAGTTGATTCCTGTGTTTCTTTGGGTGTTGGACACTGATTGATGTGGATTGGACGTTGATTGATGTTGATTGATGCACTCGACTTCCAGACGTGTCTCAAGCCGTGCATCCTATGACTGGATGCCTTCTGAGCAGTGACACGAGGTACCGAAGAGCTTCGTTTCGTAAGGAGACCGAAGCTCAAAGATCAATACGAATCTGAATATGTTTGATCAACTCGTGATGTTGTTACTTTGACTGACAAGGAGGCCAGAACGAGGCCTTGAGTTTGTCCAAACACAAAGACTCCTTAAATATCCAATAGCAGACCTGGTGCCAAGAACCTTCAAGCCAAGGAGGGAGGCCTTGGCATCAGATGGCATCAGCTCCTTTGTTGCTGTATGGTATCTACCTCACAATGGCACACCTGAGTTCAGCAGCAAGTGACGGAATTTGATGGAGCGTCTTGTCGGTGTCGCATCATTTCTTCAGAACTTAACTGCAAGGCCTTTCGGAAGCCTGGTGGCATTTGCTCTACCAGCAAGGGCGGCTTCACCCGGCCCCTCACAAGTATTTGATTGTGAAGGTGTCAAACATTCTTCCATGCCACTGGTTGAATAAGGTGTAATCCAGTTGGTGGGAGGCATTTGCTTGTTGGTCAAAGCATCACGTTGCACATTGCTTATCACTGTAATTATGCACTGCAAGTTCATTTACACAGAATTATTCTCATCCTTCCTGTCTTTCAAGTTTCAACAAGATTAGCTTCTCAACGACAAGGCATGGTCAGGAGCCACCAGTGGCAACAAGTCAAGAGAAGAAGGATCGAGTAATGGTCAGCAGTCCCGTCAGGCTGTTCTTCTTGGGCTCCCAAACAGTAATGGTCAGCAGCAAGGGGAGCAA